AATATTGGGAAAGCCATAATTATAAATCAGGGTTTCAAAAGGAAAAAAAAAGGGGAAAAATTAAAAAAAATTAAAAAAAAATTTTTTAACTAAATCGTTTAAATAGGAAAAAAAAAAATGCCCAACCCCCTAAACACATTTCTCATCAATATTTATGAGTAATATTTTTTAAAAGTAAATTGTAGTTTTTAAAAACACGACTTCTGCATTTAAGCTTCAAAAGGGGTTTATTTAATAAAGGAATGTCAAAAGAATTGTTTAAAATTTTTTTATTCGGTTAAAAGGGCAACGCCAGTCATGATACTTTTTTCCTTTTAAAAAAAAATAATAAAAAATTTTTAAAAGATAACGTTTTCTAAAAAAAAGTTTTTTTAAAAAAAATTAAAAAAATTTCCTTTTATTTCCAACACCTAAATAAAACAAATTTAAATTTCCCCAAACCTAAACATTAAAAGGTTTCCCAATACCAAATTAAAAATTTGAAAAAAATAAACTATTGAGGAAACCCCAAAAAGATGAAAAAAATCAAAAGAAATAAATTTAAATTATCTCGGAAAAAAAGGGAAAAAAATTTTCGAAAAAAATATATTTTTTTTCCCCCAAAGCTTTTCGGGTTTTTTTAAAAAAATCAAATTTTAAAAGTGAAAAAAGTAAAAAATAAAAATTTAAAAAAATCTCTTTTATCAAAAAGGTGGACGTAAATTTTCCACATAAAATTTGGCACTTACTTGCTGCTGATGAAAAAAAAACCAAGAAAAAACCTGAAAAAGTGATTTCATAACTCAATTTAAAAAAAAAGAAAGAAAATTTAATTTTTCCACCATTTAATCTGTTTAAATTTTACAAAGTGATCCTATTGTTAAACAAAAAAAACTGATATTTTACTACTAGTTTTCAAAGGGGTCAAGTTATTCTTAAATTTTGAAAAACATTTTAAAACTTTTTCATTTTGGACGTTTGGGGAACCAATTACCCTTTTGCAGGGGAACCTTATATCAAAAGCCAAAAAAGATTTCATTTTTTTCTCGAAGACTACAAAGGCAAAGAAGGGTTTTCAACAAACCAAAATTCAACAATTTTAAACTTCCCAATTTGAGATTCCAAAATATTACAAGCTTGTAGTGTGATAACCACAAACATGCGTTTAACTGCTTATAACTCTGACTTATAAACCCGACTTAACGAATTGAATAAGTGGGTAGTTTGAACTAATTTCTTGACATCTGCAGTTGTTAATGCATTAGCGCTATTCTTTAATAAAGTCAGCACGATTTAAAAACGAAAAATACAACAACTATCCGTAATTGAGTGTTTAAATCCGTTAACGGATATTTGTTACTTTTATATATATTTGCGTAAAAAGATTTTATGCAAGAATGTTTTTTCAATCAAAGTTAATATCCTTGAAATTTTCTTTTCGTTACTTAATGATGTTGTTTTAAACTGAATATTATACATTGAATGATTTTTTAAATCTACTCACAAAATCATGTTACAATTTTCCCACAAAATTACAAAAATAATATTATTACACGGATTAAAGTATTCATTAGGAAATAATCCATATTTATAACAAAATAATTTTTGAAATTAAAATTGCTGACTTTACTTAAGACATAAATATTAAGACCACATTAACTTAAGTTGAAACAGATGACGTTTTACAGTAAGATCCTTATAGCAAAAGCTACAAAACAATGATATTGTTTGAGGACTTTCCCAAAAGTTCAGTGGGAAAACAGTTCATTGCAAAACATGATTATGATGAGTATTCGAATTTTGTCAAATAAGAAGCAATCTGGATTTTACATCAATATATATCATTATTATTTTGGATATAATATCATAACGAAAATCAATTGTTAGATAGGCCATGAACTCCGTTTAAATCGATATTATTTCGAGTCTAACAAAAATAATTATCTATATTTTTAACCGGATATTATTTCTGGTGCCGATATTTTTATGGTTGGTTGTTCTATTCCGATTCCTTCAAAGGCTGACGTAATAAACGTAAGGAATAATAAGACAAAAGCTTTGTTTTTCTTTAAATATTATCTTACCGACAATTTTAACTTACATGTCAGCAAACAACAGTGATAGATTTACACATGATCACTAACTAATGAAAGTCTTAAAATGACGCCATTATGTCGCTTTTTGTATTTTCTGATCGCAAGATCAATTAATACAAAGCTAACATCCACGGTCTAACACAAGATTTCCTAACAGACCTAACAACGCAAAGTAGTTCTCACTCAAAACTGCTTAAAAACCAGCAATTTAAAAGAAAGAATAATTTTTAATGTAGGCATTTAACGAATTACAGTGCATTAAAAGTTTAGATTAGTCAATAGAAATAGGAGGTTACAATCACAAATTTCGCGGATGAATATCTTTTTTACCCAATGAAAAATGTTCGGCTATTTCCGTAAAGCTTCATCAATGAAAATGCTATGTTTAGCTATGTCGATTACCGAATACTCCAGAGCGTAGTACACAAATAAATCTGACTGTCGAGTAGTGGAATATATACATGTCGGACCGTTTTGGCGAGAAGATTTTCGCTAAATTATTTTCATCAGTGTTAAACAACAGGTTTATCGTGAACAAAATACCTCGAAATTAACCTTTTCCCTCATATAAGCGTGTTTCGACGGCTTTTTGCCCCCCTTTTTGAGGCCTCAAACAGTGAAAAAATGCCCTATTTAGGCCCCAAACACTGGTGATCGTGTGAGAAATGTTGTTAAAAAAGTGACAACTTTTTCGGCGCCGCCCCCCATCCAAATGTTACATCAGGGGGTGGCCAGAAGGGGGATGTGTCCCCTTTTGTTTGAGGGGTTTGAAGGGGGGCGGAGTCCCCCTCATCGCTAAGAAAATTTTGGACATGTGACAGGCTAAAAATGGCCCCAGGTCGATCTTAGGAAACTAGTAACCGACGCTGAAAAGCCTTTTACTCTATCTCAATTCATTAAGAAGTTGTAGCACTTTGAAATCAGTTTTGATGGAAAAAACAATGCAAAATAGTGATTTTTTGCAATTTTGAGACGTCCCGCCGTTGCCATGGTAACAGTAAATTTACGATTGAGCATGCTGTTACAGAGGCTATGGTGTCGCCAACATTTGTGCCAAGTTTCATCAGTATTGAACTTTTTTTCATAGTTTCATAGCAGTTTGAACTTGTTACAGGAGGCTTTTCAATGAAAACGGCCATTTTTCGCAATATGCTCATGGGGTAAAAGGTTAATTAAAAAAATAAAAAATGTCAAAAAAAAAACAGCAATTTTTCACCAAAAGGCAGTGTTAGGGCACATGTTTACATGGAAAATCTAGTTTTGGGTAATTCCAAGGTTTTTCAGCATATTTTGTTAACCTTTTCCCTCCATATAAGCGTGTTTCGACGGCTTGCCCCCCCCCTTTTTTTGAGGCCTCAAACAGTGAAAAAATGCCCTATTTAGGCCCCAAACACTGGTGATCGTGTGAGAAATGTTGTTTAAAAAAGTGACCACTTTTTCGGCGCCGTCCCCCATCCAAATGTTACATCAGGGGGTTGCCAGAAGGGGGATGTGCCCCCTTCTGTTTGGGGGGTTTGAAGGGGGGCGGAGTGCCCCTCATCGCCAAGAAAATTTTGGACATGTGACAGGCTAAAAATGGCCTCAGGTCGATCTTAGGAAACTAGTAACCGACGCTGAAAAGCCTTTTACTCTATCTCAATTCATTGAGAAGTTGCAGCACTTTGAAATCAGTTTTGATGGAAAAAACAATGCAAAATAGTGATTTTTGGCAATTCTTAGACGTCCCCCCGTTGCCATGGTAACAGGAAATTTACAATTGAGCATGCTGTTACAGAGGCTATGGTGTAGTTAACATTTGTGCCAAGTTTCATCAGTATTGAAGCATTTTTCATAGTTTCATAGCAGTTTGAACTTGTTACAGGAGGCTTTTCAATGAAAACGGCCATTTTTCGCAATATGCTCATAGGGTAAAAGGTTAATAAGGATTACAAACACGAAATGGAAATTCTTAATTTAGAATTACAATGTATTTTTTTTATTCAATCTACATAGGTATTACTTCACCGTGGTGCAGAGGTAGCGCGTTTAGGGTGTGAGAGGCCTAAGGTTCAAATCATGGTTGAGGCAACTTTTTTATTTGAAGTGTCTTTTTAAAAGGAAGTAGCCACGATATGCAAGGATAAAGTGTGGCTGTCATAAAAAATGAAAAATGATTTTTTGATGCAGCTCTAGTCATGCAAAATTCCATATGTATCAATCTCAAACTGTTATAGAAAAAAATCTAAACGCAGTCGCTGAGTAAGATGAATTATAGTATATAAAAATATATTTATACAGGAAAATACATACAGATAGTTAGTATGATTTAGATTGCAAAGATCAGAAAATACCACAGAGCTTGCAGCCCTTTGATTATCAATGAATTCGTACTTTTACTCAGTCTCGCGGTACTTGCGACCTGACTGCGTGGTATGAAAACAAAAAAGTAATGTACTTATTACAAAAATGCTTTATAATTTTTGCCTATCTTTATCGATTTTATAAAATGGAGTACATAAAAATAGCCGCATATACATTAAAGATTTTAATCGGTGTTTATAGGCAATTTAACACCGGTTATTTTCTTCTTTTTGTATAGAGACAATATCACGAATCATGCTAGAAATCACATTATATCATTATATCATCATTATTATTTTCATCTGTAATATTGAATATGACATTATATAATTCGTGTTTGCCGACAAACGAGCGATTCATTTTACTGTTAATATATAAAAATATACTCCGATATTTTTGTTATCGATTGGGCAAGAAAACCTCTTCGTAATATATTGATAAATGGTAAGTGAGGATATATTTCATTTATGTATATTTTGAAAAGTGTGCATTTAACAATTAGATACATTTGTTGCATGATATGATTTCCGCAAACATTTTTGATTAACCCTCGTTTTCAATATAAAAACAAATCAACACTAAACATATAAACTGATAGCTGGAACAGAAAATGTAGTTGCATTCTTGACATTAACCAAGGCAAAATGGTCTGTTACAAAATGTTGTTCTCAAGGTTTTATACTTTTGTTGTTTTGTTTCAAATATACAATTTTCAATTTGTTCTTGCAAAAGAACCAGTTTGTTCAAAATTTGCTTACGAAGAACAACTTTTAGAGAAAATGATAAGGACTGAAATTAAAGTAGAAACCATGGCAAACGAAATTAAGACGACACAGGAGACTGTCATGGACACTTAAGGCATCATTAAGAAAACTGTTCAAGAATTCACGGACATGTCTGAAAGCTTGAAGAACAACATCACGGCACAAATGTCAGAGAATACTCAAATAATTGAGAAGAAAATAAGTAAGTAAACTTCTTTTATTATGTTTTATCTTTTCTTAAAATATCTTCATGAAAATTATCTTATTTTTGACTCTGCAATTGCCATATCTAAAACAAACAATTTAATTCTATATACTCGAAAAGACATTCAATTAAAGTATACAATTTAATAAGATATTTTTAGATAACACTCACAGTTAATATACAAACATAAGGTTTTATTCATTAACAGTTTCAAAAAAGAAAAATTGTAGAGGTAAGAAATGTGATTAGATATTATGTATGTTAGAGTTCGTTAAACACCTATGCACAGTTTACTGTCCTTAGAAAACATTTCTAAGTATACAAAGTTAAAAATTGTTATTGTTTAAATTCACACGTGATGTATCATTCAGTTTAATTAAAACAAAGTTGGGCAATTGACATTTATTTAATTATATTTGCTAGTGAATTTTTATAAAAAATAATCAAAGTTAAACATTTACTTCAACGTTGTGTTTTACAATGTTTAAAAACTCTCTTTTGAATATGATTACAGAGTTCTTCGAGAAGTTGTATGAAGCAGTTCGAGTGAATTTTACGCATGAAATTGAAAACCAAAGAAACAGTGTTGTCGCATTGCAAGGTAAGATTATTTCCTTTTATAAACACCTGAACATTTTCTTTTTCTTATCTGATTCAGATTTCTTTATGAATTATCTGCAAACGAATTACATGTAACAACTGATCAGTGATTTATTTTCATACATTGTGAATGCAATAAGAATGTTCTTTTGTATGAATTATTAATAGGAGAGATTTCAAACACGTAACTGAATAGTCATGACAATAAATTTTGTAAATGACTTTGTTCAGAATGATGCCATCGTGCGTGTTACTTTTCATTATCTTATCAATTTTTGACAATTTCTATTTCTACCATCTCAATAATGAAAAAAGAATTGTACCAATAGAGTTAGATTTTCATTTTAGATAAAGTTAAATATATCATTAAATAAACTTCGCACGGAAGTTAACACCCACAAGTACATGACAAGCATGACGATACCGGTTTCTTTTTACGAAAAAGTAAAAACAACATACCGAATCAGAAGTATATTAATGCAAGAACAGCACTTATAAATGCATATTTTTGCATGCATTTACGTCTGAAGAAGCCCTCGGACTTATGAAATCTGTCGCATTGTCGGCTCGGAATTTAAATGCATTTTAGTGCCTTTGCAAATCCTATTTCACGAAAAAATGTGCCATAACCCCCTATTTCGTGTACAACTAACTAATAAATCTCCTTATAAAACAAGGTGCAACTGTAATGATAGCGTACAAACATGGGACATATACTCTAATAATCCTAATAGTATTTTTTGGGACATAAGTGCTATTATAAAAAATGTGTTTAGATTGTTTCGGTCAATTTATTCGCATTATAAATAAGACTATAATGATTATTAATATCATATATTCGAATGATTTTTTTCATGTACAGACTCAGTCAAACCGAGTCTGCAATTCTTATGTAATTTTATTGCTTCCGAGGGATCACTTTGTTTCCAAATTTTTGCCATAAATTTGCAAACTATTTATTTGCAGGAAAATATGAACGACCCACTGTTGCTTTTTGTGTGCATGGGGTTACAGATGTTCTCCTGGATGAATCAAACGAGGTAATTGTATTTAAAAGCATTATCACAAACGAAGGAGCTGGATACGATAGTTCCACAGGAATCTTCACAGCCCCTGTTGGGGGTCTGTACCAGTTTGCTGTCCATCTTTGTACACCAATATCTTATTACACTTATGTAGGAATAGTTCATACAGGAAACGTCATCGTAAAAGATTACATTCATGGTGTTGGCAATAATGCCTTGTGCAGCTCTGTAGGAGGTGTTGTAAGAGTTGAATCAGGGGAACAAGTTTGGGTCCAGTCACTATCTACTTCGTCAAACCGCAAACTTATGGATGACGGTAATAGAATGAACACGTTCTTGGGAATACTGACTGATAGCTAGATGTGTTACACATATTTTCATAATAGATTGTATACATACTTTTTTATTGTCATATCAGTGAAAATGGGAATTTCAGAGGACAATTTTTCATTTTTAACACAATTTAAACGTCATTTTTAATATACAAATATAGCAAAACTACTATGTGATTATTGTTAACAAAAACAGGAAATGTTATAGTGTTCATATAGATAATGTTGAACATGGATTTACCATGGGACAAGGAAACAATTGTTAAACTAAGGTTAACCTCTCGCTCAGAATATAAACATTTCTTTGGATTTTAATCCAGAAATTCGTACACTATATAAACGAGTTACTTGACATAAATATTAAAAAAAAAGAAATAAAGACTATTTTCGTAAAATACACTACATTAAATTTTTTTCAGGGAAACTGTTACATAAAGCTATGCAGGTACGCGCAATTAACGCATAATACAAATACATCACGTTAACACCATGGCCGTTTCAATTTTTACGTGATAAACTTCAACTTCATAATCATATGCGTTGTGCAGCAGTCGCTGTTCATTTTTAAGGTATGCTTGATATAACTTCTATGTTGAATGATTGCTGAATCCATTGTCTTTTTATAACAACCTCATACCTCTGCAAATGCGCGTCACCCAAATGGCAGGTACTATTGAACAAAAAATGCAAATTTAAATCTTATTCACACATTAGTATCAAAATATAATATTATTTAGGAAATATATATCAATTCTGAGTGAATTGTTGAATAATAAGTTCAAATGCGAAAGAATATAATCACGAAGGCCGATAGACATTTATACGAAAACCGTGCAATATTATTCTTCTACAATGCACGAGATGTTAAGATATTATTAAACTTAAACTTTTATTTGAATAACAATATATTTCACTTCAAACATTTACATGTGCTAGTTGTTAACAAATACGTTGCAATGAAATTCTTTTTATTGTGCAAAATTATTAGTATGAGTATTTTAAAATATTATTATCCAACCATGATTATGTCACCAAAGAGTCTTTTCATTTTGTCCATTTCAATAAGGCTTAATGGCAAATTGACATAATGGCAAGTTCAGAATAATTTGACAATTAAGTTAATTAAATTTATGTCCAAAATCTATACTAATGGATATGTGAAATTATTAAATTGCATGATATATATAATATGATTCTTCTGTGAGTTCGCTGTCACTTTTGTTTTAAATGATGATCAACTCCCATTTCAAGATTGATTTCAGATTTACCAAAAAGTAAAAATCCTAGCAAACATGATATAAAGGTGAAATTAAATAACTGGCCCGTTGAATCCTACAAACCATCCTTATATCATAGATATTGGCATCACATTCATGCCATATTAACAAAATACAAAATATTAATGATTAAAATTTTGTGTAAACATTTTGCGAAAAAAAAACAATACATTTGTAAATATGTATAGATGTCATTAGCTTTCATATTTCGAGAAGGTCTTTTAAACGTACAATCACTGAAGGACCTCTTACGTTCTGTTTTCACATATGATAACCCGATATTGTTACGATCTTTAGTATAGTATTCTAATTTGATTTAGAAACAGTCTTGTGAAATAGTCAAAATAATAGTTACATACCTCCGTAAACCTATGACTTGAAGCACGTTTAAAGTAAAATATGTACAGTCAGCCTGGCTCTATACACACTGTATAATATTTTAAGGCCTACATATTTACTCTTTTACAGACAATACAAATTAACCTTAGTTTCAACTTTCTATATACGTGGTAATAGTTGTATATTCAACTACATGTATTTGCTAATTTATCAATTAGTAGTTTACCTGTGATAAGTTGATTTGTTTTAGTTTCTTCTGCTTATACCATTGGCATGACACATCAAATTTCTTTTAACACTTAGTAATGACATCAAGTGATTGCGAAAAGCAGCACTTGATAGACTGTACTTCGTAGCTGAAATTTGTTTGTGTTATAAGTAATAAATAAAGCTAGATTCGTGATGGAAAATTCTTGAAATCAAAAGAGTGAACATTATAGTCCAGTCAGTGAAGCCAAAAAATGGGTCAACCTAGAACAAATTGCAAAAGTTTTGTTTTCACATTTTTTATTTACATTAATATGTTGTTAATCATCAGTAAAAAGTTGCAATCATATAATCTTGGCAAAATCGGTAAAAAAGTGGGTCAAGTAAGGGCACTGTTAAAAGCGTAATTCATTGTTATTTTTAACAATCAAGATCAGTATATCTAATTGATATGAAAGAAATGCTTTTGGATTTGATTATTTTATACAATATGATATTTTCATAGATATTCTGTTCATTATAATTTATTTTAAGCCAGTTTTATTTTATTTCTTTCATTTTCTACCATTTAAAGAAAAAATATATACAAATTAAGTACCCCACCCACTTTTGTAAAAAGGTATTTTTTTTACTTTTTAAAAGTTTATGAAAAATAGTAGTATTGACCATGTAAAATGAATGGTTTAATATCCAACAAATTTTTAATACAAAAAAACATCAAGAAGCAATGTCATTATGTTCACTTCTTTTAAATAATAACAGTAACTTTGTGCAGACTATGTATTATTTTCAACACAATGAATTCCTAAACCTACTATCACATTAAAACAAAACAGTTCAGAAAAATTTGCATGAAAAAGTTTATAAAAATACAATTTCAAATATAACTACATTATTTTTGATAGACATTGATGGTCATTATAATTCCTTTTTATGCTAGCAGAATTTGTTTCCTTTGATTTAAAGAAACTATTGAAAAAAAATTTTCCCACCCACTTTTGTAAAAAAGAAAAAAAATTCCATTTTTTTAAATTCAAGAAACATATACAATCTGTTATTAAGTATGTAAAATTAAAGTTTGGTGTAAAAACAAAAGCATAAAAGAAATGACATTTGTTGCACATATTCATAGTAATTAATACATTCAACACATGATAATTCTCCAACCTATTATGATATACCAATAAAAGCAAATATGACATGAAAAATTCAAAAATTTGATGTGATTGGATAATTTCCAATAAGTTTAAATTGACATTTATTGTATCAAAATTTATCGGATTCAAAAAACGATAAATTGAAGAGTATAAATAAACATCAAAAGCATACAAAGTAATTAAATTAAGTGCACTGATTCTCAGTAATAATATAATGTGTGTTGCATTCTGCATAATATTTTCAACACATAATACTAGTATATAATTCAACCTACTTTTATATTAAAACAAATCAATTCACAAACATTGGCATAAAGAATTTATAAATTGCCTAACATAAAAACATTTATCTTTCATGGTATTATGCTTATACTATCATTTTCAATAAACAACATGCATTTATAATTTCTGTATTGTTAAAAGTCTTCAAAATCAAGAGTTGACATTGTTAAAGAGTTTGAGCATGAAATACCCCTGCATTCCCCACAGCCTGCTGAACATTCGAGCCCATGCTTTCGGCACGAACAGCGCTTAGAGTCACATTGACCTTTACAGTTACATCGAATAACCATGAGAAGGAAATCAGGCGCTGGTGGTAAACTGGTTTTCACAGGAAGGAACATGTCATTTACTAACTCCCAGCCCCATTCTAAAGGATTGAGTCCGTCATTTCCTATCCACATCTGTGTTTGAAGATAAACTCTCAAACTATGGTTTGCGGCTGCAGCAGATGTTGGTGGCAAAGAACTGACTTGGACAACAGATGTTGAGTTTGCAACTTTATTCGAAAACTTCTGAAACCTAAGCTTGTCAAGTGTGGGTTCTTTTTTTTCCATCAAACAGAAGGGATAAAACAATCTCGCCAGACTGAAGAACAGATGACCTTGAATTTGCTTTCATAAATCTCTCAGCTTCTAGTCTAAGGGTCTTACTACAAGTGAAAAGTTTCAGTGCAGAAGGCTTTCCAATACCATACACTCTTGAAGTTGTATCACAGCCAGTCATGGCATGAATAAGTGGAAGCAAATTACAAATGTCGGAACCTAAAAACCGTTTTTTTTTGCTTTTTGAATATGCCATACTTTGTTTACTTTTTCTGCATTTTCCGCACTTTCATAGCCACGGTTATCATCGTGCCTGTCACATTGTACAGAAGTAAAACTAGAAGATCTGTATCTTCGCCAACAACCATAGTTTGCTGATTTACTGCAACTGCAAAGCAGTTTTCACAATTCTAAAATCGGCATCAGCTGTACATTGGAGACATCTTAAGCCTTTACTTGACAGATATTGTGCAAGAAGTGATATGAAAGTTTGTTTGTTTTCTGGATTTTTCAAGAATGTTTCCTTTTTCCCTCTAAAAGACGTAGATAGAGAAAATAATATCTTTGGGCCAATTATTCCTTTTGTTCTACGGATATGAGAAACGTCTTAAGTTGTGGGTCCACAGTCATAACCGTCGAATACAACTACAGGTGAATTATACCGAGACTGAATGTAGTCGAAATACTGTTCAAATCTTGTTTCAAACGAAACGTCTTTTTTCCAGGTCACTGTTTGTAGCAGTGATCCTCCATCAATCACGTGTACCAAATCTTGACAGGAATCTAGCTCATCTTTAATCCCACAGGTACCTGTTTTCCAAATAGCATCAGCTAATGAGGACTTCTGAGCTTCTCTCAATAATCCTGACCCATCAAACAAAGAAGATGGAACTCCACACAACTTCAAACTTAAATATATCTTCAACGTTGTCAACATGTCGACTGGCTACAGTAGTAAGCCGCTGGAAGAGCAATTGTGGGTCTATTTCAATAGAATCTCCGGTTACCTTTCACCGAGTTTTTTTCATTCAGTGTGACAATTTGTTTTGATTTTCTGTACTTATATTCATGTAAAGCCTGTCCAGCCATTTCGTCTACCAAAGCAACTCCAATCTTTTCCGCCATATCAGCGTTTACTTTATCATCTGCAGTTACACCAGTAAACATGTTATGTAAATATTCAGATTGGGCTTCGAATGGACTGTGGTCAGTCAAAATGATAAAAAACATTTTTACATCTTTATCATCCCTAACTATTCTTGATGTACCCTCATCCTTATGCTGTTCACTCGTTTGTGTAATTCTTCCCAGGTATATTGCTGCATAACAACATTCATTTCAGTAGTTTGCTGGCATTTGAAAGTAACCAAAAGTGCTCGTTGTCCTTTTGTCATTCCTCTGCCTCTTGTCAATCATCCTGATGTTTTCAGAGACCTCATGAGTACCTGTTCTATTGCAAGGTCTGTTTGAAATTCCCAGCCCAATATCTGTCACTTCGTCTTACAACATGATTTCCGTCCAGAAATTGCCTGTACACATCAGGGTGTGTGTTTTCTAAAGCAAGCAATGTTCTGCAAATATATTGTAGGCAGATTTTCAAATACAATGAATGTCCAGAAGCTGCAAAGTAGGGAAGCATTTTCCTAAGCGCTGCAAGATGTCCAGTCCAACTTCCAGTTCTCTCAGCTCGTATAAACTGCTGCAGAATTGAAAATCATTTTCATATACTGGATCCATAATGCAGGTGTTCTATATTTGCTTCAAGTTGTCTTTTACTTTTGAAATATTGTCAAGAGAGTAAATTAAGGTTTGTGTCATTGCAGATATCATCTTTGTTTAAAATGCCATCTTTCAAACTATTATACATTGAAACTGTAAGTTTCTGAAGTATATCGTTATTTTCAACAAGTCCTTCATTTCCAGAGCTTATTTCAGAGCATTTTCTGTTACAAGTTGGATACAATATCAACTTCAATTGTTTTCTCAACAATATTGTTTGGAGAGCT